GGGCCGGGCCCAGGCGGGTGCTGAGGTTCCCGCAGCCCGAGGGGCCCAGCCCGGTGAGCGCGGCCGGCCCGGGGCACGGCGGGGTTCGGAACCGCTTTTATGGCATTTCAGTTTGTTGCTGTCGCTGTGACTCGGCAGGTCCAGGTGGGGACGGATCCCTTTTCCCAGCCACTCGTGCAGGGACGGCGGCCACCGATCCCCGGTGTCCGGGAGCTGCGGGGGACAGGTCAAGGTGTGCTCCTGCCTCTGGCTCCAGTGCCCGGGACCGTGCGGGGAAAAACAGGTAAATGCTCACTACCAGGGTTAGAAGGGATGCAGAGTTAGTCTTGGCAACGGAATTGAAAGATAGGGAGGAGATACAGAATCATAAAATACCCTGGGGGTCTTGGAAGAGACCCACAAACATCACCAAACTCCTGGCCCGGGTTTCTACTGCTTTGTTGGAGTTTGGTTTTCAGATTACCAGCATCAGTTCCTATTGTAAACGTCTTCGTTGAAGTGATGCCCGTAGTGGTCTTGAAAAATCTCTGAGATTGAGGCAGAGTGTGAAAGTTGAGTGAAAATTGCTGTGCATTTCTTCCAAGGCAGGGCTGGCACTGAATCCTTTCTGCCATTTAAGAGCAGAGAACATCCCCGGCTGTGCCTTGGTTTGTGTCAGCAGCTCTGAGTGGTTCAGTGCTTCAGGAGAGCAGCAGGAGCCTGGCAGCTCTCGTTCCTAAGGAGCCTTTGCCCTTGGAATGGGCTGGCACAGCCTTTATCCCATGCCAGATTCCCTTCTAATCCCTCACAGCAGAATGGGGCTGGGATTGTCCCAGGAGCAGTTCCTTCTCTACCTGGACACCGATGGCGTGGGTGCTGTGGCAGATGAAGCCAGCATTTCCCAGCTTCCTGCTGCTGTTGGCAGATGAAGCCAGCGTTTCCCAGCTTCCTGCTGCTTTTCTTTCCCCCTGGAAAACCTTTTGTTCTTTGCTGAACTCTGTGGTGTCTCCTCTGTCCTCTCCCTTGTGTTCCCAGTCTGTTTCCGATCTGTTCAGTCTGTGGGTGGAAATAAATCAGTAAATGAACGTTTCCTCCTCTGCCAGAGGTGGATGAAACTGAATTTCAGGATTTCCACCTTTTACTTCGTGTGGAACAAAGCAGGAAAACACTGGGTGTCCACAGCAAACGTGAGCACTGCAGATCAGATGGGACATGAAGAATGAATAAGCAGCTCCAGCGCTGTTCCCTCTGCAGGTGCCCAGAGCAGGGTGTCCCCCTCGGCCTTGGCCGCTGCTCCAGCTGGGGACTCCTGCCAAAATCCAGGCTGGGATTTGCCAGGGAGTGTTCTGGGGGAACAGGAATGTCATTTCCCCGGCCTGGGGCTGGCCTGGGGCAGGGCAGCTCCGTGTGCTGGGAGGGACATTGCTCCTGCAGCGCTGAGGGCGTTCCTGACACAGCCAAGAATCTTCCTGTAAAGGTTTTCCTTTGCTTTTCTGGCAGCAGACAGCTCCTCGGCAGTTTGATGTTTTCTCTCACCCTTTCCACAGCTCAGGTGATGTGAGTTCTCCAGGAAGGAAATTTCCCTCCTCCAAGTGTGAGTCCTGGGTGCTGATCCTGAGCTTTTCCTCTTTGCAACCCCTTTCCTTCCTCTCCTTCAAAGCTGGAACTCCTGCTGCCATAAATAAAACATCACAGTTGATTCTCTGGCCTCATTTCACCTCAATTTCAGCACAGGGGCTGAGTCAGCAGCCCAGGCTGCCCTCCTTAACCGAGCCCAGCCTGGCTAAGCCAGTGAGATAAGCCAAGCTTATTTCTGTGCCAGCAGCACAGGCTGCTGTGCTCAGAGCTGGTTTAACTCCCAAAGAACAGAGGCTCTGTCAGCTCCTGCCTTCCCTCATCCTGAGCCCAGCTGCACATCTCAGGTCAGACCCTAAATCAACAGGCTTTGATCTTAAATGCTCTGACAATTCCTTTTTTGCAGTGTAGCAAAGTCCACAGAACTGACTGCAACTGATGAAGGGGGCAGGAAAGTCTGGCACAAAGAAAAGGGAATTTGGTACCAATTTCCCCATTTTTTAGCAGAAGGAAAACCAGAATTATGATTTATTATGGAAATACTGTTAGTGTTACTTGGGACTTTGCAGTGTGATTTCACTCAGCTGGGAAATAGAAAAAAGCAACATTGCATTGGATGGAAAGTGAAAATTAATTATGTAAAGTAACTCAAGGAGTAATTCCTGGTGTGGTGTTGTCTGTGAGGGCTGCTGAGTTGGACTTTCTGTGCCAGAGCCCTGAGAGAGCTTCTAAATGTGACTGTTAAATGCACTTAAAACTATTTTATGTTACAAAAGTAACATTGGAAATGAGTGGGAGAAAAAAATTCCTGTACTTCTTTCTACACATTGAAAATGTTAGTCCTGGTGGGAGAAAATTGCCATAGCTCTGAGCTTATTTAGAAATTCTACTTCTGGCTTTTACCACTCTGCTGCTGTTTCCCACTGTAACCAGTGTCTGGTGTTAGATTTTCCTGGGATTTGAAGGGTTGGATAGGGATGGTGAATACTCGGTGCAGCTTGGAATTTGCTGAGCTGCTCGAAGCGTTGCTCACTTCCAGTCTTTCTGTTCCCCCCAGGTGTGGAGGGAGGGCTCTCTGGCTCAGGAACTGTGCCGTGGGGCTGAGCAGAGATGGATTGTTGTTTGTGGTGTCCCTGCAGGCCATGGAGAGGCTGGAGGAGGAGCTGAGCTGTGCTGTGACATCTCGGTGGAGCCGCGGGACGTGCAGGGCTCACCCCCAGCAGCCGCTGAACATTTCCTGCTGCAGGACCTGTGGCTGGGGAGCCTCAGCATCGATGGACTCCAGAGCTCCTCCAGGAGAGCCAGGGAGGCTGAGGGACAGCTCCTGCAGGAGCTGATGGATCGCTCCAAGGTGTTTGTGTGCTCCCACAGGCTGCAGCAGCAGACACGCGGTGCCAGAGTGCCCTGCAGAGCGCCAGGGAAGCCATGCTGTGCTGGTTTAAGGAGCTTGGTGATGCCTTGGAGAAGGAAAAAGCAGCTCTGCTGTGTGCTGGATGAGCAGGGCAGCTGCATCTCAGAGAAATGAGATTCCACCATTTCCTTATGGAGGAGGTGGAAGAAGTGAAGTTAGAAGAGTTAAAGGAGCTGCATTCAGCTGTTCAGGAGGAGTCCCTGCTGCTTTTCCTGGAGAAGCTGGACAGGCTGCAGCTGCAGCTCCACACTCTCAGAATGAAGCAACTCCCAGAGCCTGAGCCTGTGGAGACCCATCTGAGGATGGAGAATGTGCTGCAGGACACGTGGGGTAAAACTGAACTCGGGCAGCTCCACGGGATTCCCACCCCAAAGCTCCACCTGGCTCACAAAAACCAACGCTCCGGAAAGCAAACGGCGCCGTCTGCACCCTGGGCTGCTCTTACTGAACCAAACTTTTCATTCTTCTGCTGATCCTGATCTCACTTGTGTGGTAATGGCACGAGGAAATCTCACCTGGCACCATCCTGGCTCCTCTGGAGTGTCTCTGGGAATTCCTGCTGCAGATTTATCAGGATTCCTGCCTCTGCCTGCAGGACAGAGTGCGAGAGCTGTGCCTCACTTCTGCCCGAGCTCTGGAGTCGTGCAGAACAATTCTTCCTGCTTCAATTAAACTGAAATCCTAGTGCAGCAATCCAGCATTATCTTCAATTTCTACTTAAAAGCTGTTAAAGCTCTACACTTGTTCTGTTTCTCTATCCTTCCTTTCCTGTTTTGCATGGATTTCCCTTGAACTAAAGTTTTGATCCAATTAAGGTGAGGAGAGTTTTGCCTCAATCCACAACTTGGGAATTTGGTCCTTAACATCCTCCTGGAATTCTTTGCCAAAGATCAGGTGCATTGCTGAGCTTCTCCTGTCACTCTTGGCAGTTTTACATTATAGTAAAAATCCCTTAAATTGCTGTCTGGGTCTTTGGTGCTGCCCCTGCCCCTGGTAAATCCCATGAACTCTATTTTCATCTCCCTTTCCTCAATTTTTACATGATATTCAAAAAAGTGGAATTTATTGAGGCTGGGTTTATATTAAGAATATAATTTTTTTACAAAATTTATAAAACAAAACGAAGTCTACAATACAAATTGAGATCACACAAAAATAAACAGCAGCCATGGGCTGGAATTTGCTTCCTCCCTATTTTTGGGCTACGCTGCACTCAGGGAGACCAAGTTCCTTCAGTCCTTTCACAGCCAGGATTTTGGGGTTGGTGGCCACACTTTTGGTGGTGTTTTGGGTTTTATAAATCCCAATTAATCTGTCTGCAATCTCAAACATGTTGTTCCGCAGGGAGATGATGATGAACTGGGCGTTCCTGGTTTGTTCCTGAAACAGAAGTGATTTGTGTTAGTGCCTGGCATTCCCAAAATTCCCTCTGTCCTGGTGTGGCACACAAAGCCAGGTTTGAAACTGCAGCTGCAGGAAGGGAACTTCCAAGTGTTTCCCTAATCTGAAGGAGCTGCTCCTAATCTTTGCCACCTGCTTCTAAAACTGCAATTAATAACAACTCTGAATATTCAATGTTTAATTACCTGAACTGGAGCTGTGTAAGGGCTTTGCTTTGATTAAATATGGTGAGGGCGGAAGTTTTAAAGGCATGAATAGAATTAATTACCACTAATTAAGACAGAGATCAAAGACACTGATAGGAATGACATGGAAGTATAAATGGTGAAGCCATCAGGAGCAGCTAAAGCTGTGTAGTCTGACAACAGCTGATGGTTTTGGGGAAGTCTCTGTGTGCTCCAGAGGGAAACTGCAGACCTTAAATCTGCCTTTGTGTGGCCACTTTGTCCCTTCTGGGGGAGGAGGGCCCATTTCAGGGAGATGAGGCCATGGGGAACTCACATAGATGTAAAATGCTACGATGGAGACGTTCTTGAAGTCGAGGGCGGCGTCGATCTCGTCCATGAAATACAGCGGGGTGGGTTTGTAGTGGTGAAGGGCAAACACCAGGGCCAGGGAGCTCAGGGTCTTCTCTCCTCCTGACAGGTTGAAGATTTTCTTCCAGCTTTTCTTGGGAGGCCGGACGCTGGAACAGAGCAAGAGCTGTGTCTGTGAGGAATTCTGATCTTTGCCTGAGCTCAGCAGGTGGCAGGGGCTGTTCCTGCAGGGTCTCAGCCCCACGGCACGCTGCCTTTCCCAGCTCAGCTCCCAGTGAGTGCATTTATCCTGGCAGCATTTCTGACTGAACACTGCCAGCGTTCCCTCGGCAGGATGAACTGACCTGGGAATCAAGTGCTGGGAAATGAGTTCAAAGCTTTCCAACTGCTTTAGTTCCTCTTTCTCCAGGAGAAAGAAATGAAACTGAGAGCTAAAAAGTTGTGGTTTCTGTCACTGCCCACATTGAGCCTGTCTTGGTTCACTGATGACCAGTGGAAATTTACTTTAAAAACAGGTTGAGAAAAGGACTATGATGATTAAAAACTAATAGAATATAAAGTATTTTGAAAACCTGAACATGATTCCCTCTGAGAAGGGATCCAGACTGTCCACAAGCTCCAGCTCAGCATCCCCTCCCAGCGTGAGCATCTGGTAGTTCTCCTTCAGCTTGTTGGTGATGACATTAAATCCTGCCATGAATTCATTCAGCCTCTGTTTCCTGAGCTCTTCAAAGGCCTCTCTGAATTTGTCCCTCTCGCTGGTGATGTTGTCCAGTTCTTCCACGTGCTTCAGGTACAGCTCTTCCTGCAGGGGCAAACAACCCAAGGGCACTTAGAGCAGCTGTCTCCTCTGTTTTGAATTTAAACCACTTTTCCTACCATTTGAACATTCCCTTTCCTCAGCTGGGCTAACAACCCTAAAACAAAACCCCCAAATTGTCCTTCTTTTCCCTTCTCTGCTGCTGAGGGAAAACAAAAAACCAAACCTGTGTCAAAATAAAAAGTATTTCATCTGTTAAATGGTTCAGTTAGTGATGTGAGGAGGGAAAAATCCCAATATTGTGTGTTGGGCTATGAATATTGGCTATGAATAGTTGACTCTATTAAATAAACATTCCCAGGAGAATCATGGAATTATTCAGGTTGGAAAAAACTTCAAGATCACCCTGGAACTTGTCACCTGATAAAGGCAGTGTGCAAGCTCCTAGAAACAACTTTCACCTTGGCTAAGGATGAGCTGCTAACAAGAACAGGCAAATTCCAGGCTTCCAAAAGGAAGGAGGAGGACATGGGGCTGTTTTTCTGGAATGCCCAGGGCTGGGTTGTCCCCCCAGGGCTGGGTTGTCCCCCCAGGGCTGGTTGTCCCCCCAGGGCTGGGATGTCCCCCCAGGGCTGGCTGTCCCCCCAGGGCTGTACCTTGTTCCTGTACTCGGCAATGGCGCCCAGGTTGGGCCGGAGCTGCTGCCGCTGTGCCTCCAGCAGAGCGATTTTCTTGCTGAGCGCGTCGGGCTCGTGCAGCGCCTCCAGCTCCTCCTCGCTCAGCACCCGCAGCTCCTCGGGGGCCTGGCCCTCGATGGAGTGCAGGGATAACTTGGAGATCTGCAATGTAAAACCCAGGGGATGGAAACCTTGAACAAACACCTGGAGCTGTTTTAAAATGAGTTTTTTCTGGATTGGTACAGGGAAGCTTCTCCAAACAAGGTTCTTCCCACAAGTCCCTTTAAAATAGGATGTGAAAAAGAGAATAAATAACCCTTTAGCCTATGAGCCTGCTCCTGCATATCCAGAAATAAGCTGTGACCTGAAGAGGAATTTGCTCCCAAATCCTGTTTTCTAAGGGGATGTTGATGAGTTCATCCTGAGATCCACAGAGAAGCTGTGGCTGCCCCTGGGTCCCTGGAAGTGCCCAAGGCAAGAACAGGGCTTGGAGCAACCCGGGATAGTGGAAGGTGTCCCTGATGAGCTTCAAGGTCCCTCCCAACCCAAACCCACAGATCCCTGATTTAAGTTTAAGGAAGCTTTTGTACCTCTTTTTGCCAGAATTTAACCTTTCCCTGGTGGGTGGAAATGTGGCTGTCGATTTGTTCAATTTTCAGCTTGATGCTCAGAGCTTCACTTTGAAGGGCATGTTCAGCATCCCGAATCATTTTCATCTCCTCCACTAAATTCTTCTGCTCCTCCTGCACTGCTGGCAAAGCTTCCTGAATAGAAAAATGGCAAATGTCCCCAAAAAGGGCATTAATCAATTACCTACAAAAATGCTGCCCCTTTTTTGGGTAAAAAGTCTGTTTTTGTTTAATTTACTCATGGCTACTGATGGAAACAAATAAATATTCTTGGATTTATAACTGATCCCTGAATTCTGGAATGACTGAGAAAATGCTGCAAGTTTGTATTTTCATTCCAGATCTGAATCAAATGGGTCCTACACTCATTTTTAGCTAATTAGAGAAAAGACATCAAATCTTAAGATTTATTTGAAAGTATTTCAACCATCCTGGTTTTCCCTGTCTCACAGAAATCTAGATGGTAAACTAAAATCCCACATAACTGAAAAAATTTTATGTTTAAGCAACCTTTAAACCCAGCAGTTTCTCTGGGGAGACTCAGTGTTAAGTTTTTTCCTAAACTGGGTCAGGATAAATTTTCAGGTGAGTATAAAATATAAAAATACACCACTGCCATGGCCTGGTTGCTCTGCAGAGAGAATGGGATGTCAGTGGGATACAGGGAGGATTTAACTCCTCTCCCTCATTTCCCTGGAGCCCAGAGTGGTCCCAGGACTCACCTCAGCGTTCCTGCACTCGTTCATCACCTCGGTGGCTTTGTCCTCCAGCGTTGTCAGCTCTGCTGCCAAGTTCTTCATTTCCTTCTCATTGTCTTCCATCTCCTTCTCTGTGCGCTGCAGAGCCTCCTCGGATTTCTTCAGGTTCCTGCCCAGGGACAGGGATCTTTGTGCACTCACAGGAAATAATCCAGGAGCACAATCTCACTGACAAGGGGGAAGTGCTGCTTTAGGCACCAACTCTCGCACTCCAGAGGGATCCAAGGAAAACAAAGTTGTCTTCCTCAGCAGCCAGGCTTCACTAAATGACTCCATCTCTTCTTTCAGAGTTTGGAATCTCTATGGAATGGTGAGCTCCCATAAAAACTAGATCCCATTTTATTTCCTGATATTAGGTCTCCTAATAAAACCAGTCCCTTCAGATCTGAACTGCTCCTGCACATCCATTCCAGTGCTGTTTTGGACTTTATCCTGAGTATTGCAGTTTAGGCAATATTAGAGAAACAATTCAAATACTGGAGAAATACTGATTAAATGTGACTTTTAAATTCTTAAAAACTACAAAATTTTACTTCCCTTTCCCTCCCTGAGCCCCACCTTAGCACAGGCACTGAGTGAGTGCAGCTCCAGCCTGAGGCTCCCCGTGCTGTACCTGTCTGCAGTCCTGGCTGCCACCTGGGCCTTGGTGATGGCTGAGGAACATTCATCTATTTCCTTGTCAATTTTATCAATTTTGTCCTGCTGAGCCTTCAGTTTCTGGTTGTTGGTGTCCATGATGAGCTGGTGCAGTCGTTTCACCTCCTCCTCCATCTTCTTGGCCTTCTCAGCCACGCGCTCGTAATCTGTCCATGGGAAAGGGGAGTTCAGGGCGGGGTGCCAGCCCTGGGGCTGCTCATGGACAGCAGGATTGGAGGGATAAAGTGATGAAAACAATACCAGACAGAAGCTCTGCTCTGTTCCTCTACTGAAAACTGCACATCTTCTCTGTGCTGTGACAAATGATGAGTTTAACTGTGACAAATACCAAAATCTACCCACTGCTTTCTGCCCCTGCTCTACCAAAGCTCTCCTGCCATAAAAAACATGCAGCAGGGATCAGTTAATGTACACAGAGTATTTAAATACATGAGGTGGTGCATTAGAAGTTTCTCCAAGTTCATTCTTTGCATTTAATTAATGGGAAGATGCTCAAAAATTCAATTTTAAGAACTGGCCACCAGGATTTCCCAGGATTTGGTGTAACTGTGTAGGCTCCTGTTCCTGCTCAGCATGGCTGCACAAAAGGGATGTGTTCCCACAAAGAATACAGGGATTTATATTATAGACTACTGGCAGAGCCTGGCAAAAAACCTTCACTTGACTTTTTTATCATTACCTCCTCATTAACAATTCTTACCCCTAATTAAACTAAGTTTCCCTATGAATGTGTGATACAACCACAAAAATCCAAGCAAAGACACAAACTACTGAAATCAATCTTTAGCTTGACTGAAATGTCATGATGACTGAAATGACTGAAACTTGAGCAATCACAAAGAAAAGGGGTTTTACTCTGTGATCTCCAGCCAAGACCTTAGAAAAACGAGGTCCTAAACCAAGACAGGGAACTGAAGCACAAACCCAAACCCATTCCTTCCTCTAATGCTAGAGGAGATTATTTATCTCTAATCTCCTCTCCACAAAATGTACCTTTTTTATAACCCTCAAGGACTTTTTCCAGCTCCTTCTGTTTGGTTTTGTCTGGGGCAGCAGCAGCGACGTTGGCTTCGAGTTCCTTGGTTTGATTTTTGAGATCAATTTCTTGTTCAGAAAAACCCTGCAGAGAACACAAAACTGGGCTGGAATCTTGTCCTTGGAAACTGCTTGTCCCCAGGCAGGCCTGTGTGGGGCTGAGGCTGGGAAGGGCTCAGGAATTCTCACCTGGATACTCGCTGTGTACTTCTCCGAGGTGTTCCTCATTTCCCGAATGTCCTGCTGCAGTTTCCTTATGGCTTCCTCAAGCTGGGATTTCTCCTCCTCACACTGCACGGCTCTTTTGGAATCCTTCTGCAGCTGGGATTCCATTTTGCTGATCTACACAGAATGAGAGGGTTATTTACTGGTGTCACCACGACAGAACCAAGCCAGGGCTCATTTCTGTGCTCAGCAGCTCTTAAAACACAGGAGAAAGTGGAGTAAAAACTTCAGCTTGGGGAGTCTGAGTGCTGGGAACATCAGCTCTGCCAGCAAGAAACAAGAGGAGGAGCAGCTCCAGATTAAAACCTAAATGGAATTCGGAAGGAAAAGCTAACTGTATCCTGCTCTGCCAAAATGGTGTCCAAGCTATCAAAAGGAGCACTGTGAGAATGGGCTGGGCTGAGAACAAACCCAGAATCCCAGAATTCCTGAGGCTGGAAAAGCCCTCCAGGACCACGGAGTCCAGCCTGTGCCTGGTCACCACCCTGTCCCCAGCCCAGAGCACCAAATGCCCCCTCCAGGGAAGGGGACTCCAAACCTCCCTGGGCAGCCCCTGCCAATGACAACCCTCTTATCCCTGATGCGCTTCAAAGCATCATATATAACCTGTGAAAACACTGGGAATTTTGGCTTTGTAACCTTTGGAATTCTCTTCCATCCCAGCTTGCTCCTGATCAAGCTGCTTTGAAAGGCACGTGTGTGTCAGAACTGCCTGAAGGAAGGAATTCTGCTGGAATTCCATTTCTGTGATGTACTCACCTCTTCTTCTGAGATATCCATCACAACTGAGGAGCCCATTCTGCCCTTCATGACTTTTCCTCCCCCACCAGTCATGGTTCCTACAGAAAAAGGGATGAAAAGAGGTCAGAGAACTCCCCAGACTTCGATATTGCCTGCTAAGTGCTTCCAGTGGAGCTCCAGTACCTGACACCTCGATGATTTGTCCCTGCAGGGTTACCACCCTCCACCTTTTCTCCTTTTGGAATGCTATTCTGGTGGCTTCCTCCAGGTTTTTGGCCACCAGAGTGTTCCTGAGAGCGAAGTAGAACGCCAGGCGAACCTTTGGGTCCTTCACCTTCACCAGGTCAAAGAGACGTGGGGCGTTCTCAGGAGTTGGGATTTTCTTCATTTCCTTTTCCCACACAGCCATCTACACCCACAAAGGAAATCAAGGAATGAATCTTTGGGATAAATATTGAGGTCATTCTGTTATTCTATGTAATTAGACTGCAATTAACAGTAAAATGATTTGTTTTCCCAAGGGTGGGACTCACCTTGTCCAGGGCTATAAAGGTGGCAACTCCAATCCTTCCAGCCTTCAGGAAGTTCACACAGGCCTGGGCGGTGTCGATGGTGTCCACAACAATGTGATCCAAGGCTCCACACGATGAGGAAATGGCCACGTCGTACTTGTCATCGATGGCTCCCAGGTCTCCCTGAGCATTCAGGGGCAAACACTGATTAGCTGGCACCTGAGCTACTCTTTGAGTTCTGTCCCAGTAAATCCATGAATGCACTTTTTAAAATCGGAATAAACTGATTTTTCTGAAGCAGAGGTAATTCTCTTTAGACAAAAAACAGCAGAATACAAAACCAGCATTTTTACAATTACACTGCTGTGCAACAGGAATGAAAAACTCAGCTCTGAATTTTCAGGACTTTAAACCAAAGTTGCTTGGAAAGAACTGAAAAATGTTTGATTTTACAGCAAGTCCACAGGATTTACAGCTCTGCTCCCCAAATTCCTAATGCCAGGGAAGTGATGCATCCCACACTTCATCACAGGAACACCTTTCAGTTCCTCGAAAGTTCAACACTAAAACTCTTAACAGCCTTCTAGATCTTACCAGCCTTCCATAGAGCCCAGGAATATTCCCACATTTCTTCTGCTGGAGCAGAGCCTCGAGCACTTTTCCTCGGCTGCGACTTTGTGCTAAAGAGCTTTTGGCTTCTTCTACTTTTCGGCGCAGGTTTCGCAGGAGATCCTTGGCCCCAGATTCTTCCCTTCCCAGCTTCTCCAGAGCATCCTCTTTCTGGGGGTTCAAAGACATTAGCTCAGCCTCCCAAAATCTACTGGATTCAGGGAGTCTTCTGTTTGTTCTTTGGGGAATGATTGAGGAGCAAGAAATTAAATTCAAAGAATGGTTTTTGGGTTGGGAGGCACATTAAAGCTCCCCCAGTGCCACCCCTGCCATGGCAGGGACAGCTTCCCCTGTCCCAGGCTGCTCCAAGCCCTGTCCAGCCTGGCCTTGGGCACTGCCAGGGATCCAGGGGCAGCCCCAGCTCCTCTGGGCATCCTGTGCCAGGGCCTCAGCACCCTGAAGAAGGCTCAGGAATGCAGCCACATCTCAGTGTGAAATCTATTCCCTTGCAGGGATATGTAGGATTTAACTGAAGTCAACATTGGCTTAACAAACTAAGTTTGAAATCCAGTATTTTCTCGAGTTATTTTGGAGGAGGTGAGTCATGGTTTATTTTCACCATGATTATTGCCAAAGAGAGGAGCGGGCCTTTGCTTTGTGTGTGACTCCAAATGAAGCGGCAAAGTCAAGTCTCACCTCCTTGAGCTGCTGCTCAGCCTGGGGCAGTTTCCCAGCGATGTCTCTGATGGCAGCTTTCCTTTCCTTCAGGGTGTTGGAGGTGCTCTGCAGGGCCTCCTGAGCCTGGCTGAGGCGAGCCACAGCTGAGTTGTACCTGCTCAGGTACAGCTCCAGCTCCGACTGCGCGAGCTCCATGCTGGAGCGGGCCTCGGTCACCTCCTTGCTGAACTCCATCAGCTCCTTCTCCTTGCCCTGCAGGAACACCCAGGACAGCTCAGCCCCTCAGCTGGGCAAAGGCATGGGGAAATGGGATGTGCTTTTCCAGCCCTGGCAGCAGGAAATGCTCCTGTTCTCTGGGAGAAGCAGCATTTCTTCGTTAATTAATGGCTTAACAAGGCTTTTCCTAATTATAAAGAACTTCAGGGAGTTCTCCCAGAGCACTTCCATACAAGCTTTTATGGTTTTCTCAAAGGTGGGAGGAGCACTACACACTGAGCTAAATTACAGCTCAAATCCATGGAGAATCCACATTTTCAAGGACAGAAAAGAACCCTGCAAATTTACAGGATAAATTTCCAGCCTCCAGGTACTGAACAACACCACCACCAATGACCAAATGTTAAAGGAGTTGTCCATTAATTCACAGATGGTGTGGGAAAGGCTGGGAACAGATCATTCCAGAATATCTTTATTTATTTAAGTGGCTTAAATGTTTTGGTGGCAGAAAGTCAGAGTGTATAATTCATATTAAATCTATGAATGAGCTACTTGATGATGCTTGAGCACTCAAAAAGCAGCCAGGAGTTTAGGTGTAATTATTAATTTAAGATTAATTTCCCACTGAGCTCCTCTGAACTAAGGAACAGTGGAATTTTCAATAAATAGATTATGAAGCACCTGGTGCGGGTTTCCTTTAGAAGAGTGAAGTTAAAGCAGGTGGGTAATTCCTGCTTGTCCAAACCTCTTTTTCCTTCTGAATTCCCTTGGTCTCCTCCTGCAGGCTGGCCAGGACCTGCCTGAGCTTGGCCTCCTCCTTGTCCTTGTCCTTTGCCAGCAGCTCCTTCTTGGCCGTGGCGTCCTCGATGGCTTTGGCGCTCGTGGCGGGGACGTTCTTCAGTTCCTCCACCTGCAGAGGAAAGCACTTTGAACCTCCTCTCCCACTGGGACAGCAATTCCTGAACCCCTCCTCGATCCAAAGGCATCCCAACAGCTTCACTGACCAAGTGAAGTGGCACAGATCCACGAATTAACTCCATTCATGGAGTGATCACTGCAGTCAGGGATTAGCAAACAAAACCTGGGGCAGATTTAATGACCTCAAATAACTCATTAAAACAATTCCAACCCCAGTTTTCCACCTTCTCTGTGCCCTTCCCATTTTCTCCCACAATTAACAGAACTTTTCCAAGTTCTGTCCACTTGGATTTTCCAAGCCAATCCAGCTGACCCATACCCTTTACCTTTTCCTTGTCCTTTTGAAGCTGCTTCTCCAGTTTTTTAGCCTTGCTCTTGGCATGTTTGAGATTCTCCCTCACTTTCACATCCTGCAAATCCAACTGAGTGAATTTTTCTTTATTTTCCTCTATGAACTTTGTAATTTTATTGAATTTCCTGAAGGAAGAAAGAAAAAAAATAATGATTTCATACAGTATAAAAATAAGGCTTATTAAGCTTGGTTTAACAAGTCAACATGTAGAATTAAAATTAGTATTACTCCGGTTTTGTAATTAACAACATCCAATATTCACTATATTCCCAGTATTTTCCCTGGGAAAAAATGATGTTTCATCAGAAATAGATCAACTACCCAAGCAATATTAATTGTATTTTCAGAAATTTTCATTTTTTTCTTGACAGAATTGATAATTCCCATCCCTCCCCAGTAATTCCCTGAGGATGAGCAAGTCAATATTGCAGATAGATTGGGGATCAGCACCCAGGCAAAGCAATTTTAACAAACACAACTTATGCAAAAATGATTCAGGGGAAGATTCCCAAATCCATGTCTCCAAGCATTAGAGTTGTACATCTAAAAATCATTTACTAATTCTTTATTTTGTACAGTCAATAAAAAGAAATATTTAAAATCTATTAAAAAGATCAGACATTTTCTTATTGTAATTGTGAATCTTACCCAGAACCAAATCAAACCAATGTGAATTTGCTTTAATTAATTTTTGTGCATTTCTTTTTTTTTGTATCATTTATTTAAATGCTTCTTCGTGAATTTAGATGTACCAGAAGTGACTCTGCTCATCAGATAATTTCATTTTTTGCTGGGAAACACGTAAAACATGGTACTACACATCACTAAAGTACTCACTTCTCAAGTTCTTTCAAAGTTTTATTCTTGGCTTTTGTTTCCTCTGCAAGTTTACTGCTTTTCTCATTAATACTTTTAGTTTCTTCATTAATTTTCTCCTTCTGCATTTCCAGGTCATTTATTCGTTTCTTTAGGTCATGGCTAGGAAAATAAAACAGCAAATCCTCACTTTTCTCCATCTTCACAATGAATCTCTAGTTCAAATTCTCAGTGTAACAACAGGATTATGTGAAGTATCGAAAAATAACAATAATTTGGAGTTAGAAACAGAAAATATTTGTAATTAGAGATACTGAAGTTGTTTAACAGCAGCCCCACCATGTGAAAGCCAACCCAAAGCCTGAGAATTACTTACATGTAATACTGACACATCTGATTCTTTTCCTTAAATATCTGGTTTTCCAAGCAAAGGAACTCAATGGCTTTATTCTTATCCTCTTCCAAGGCATCTTTTTCTTTCTCCACCATTTTAACTCGATTTAACTGGGGAAAACAGAAGGGCAGAGCTAGAGCAGGGCCAGTACTACAGGAGGAAACCATGAGGAGAAAATTCCAAACCCTTTGTAGGATGTGAATCCTCTGGAAAAATGGTATCAGGAATTACCTCTGCAAGGCAATTTTATGGTGATTTCCTTTACCTCAACCTTCTGACAGGCCATTTTTAATTTAAAAAACACTTACAACTACAGGTGTTGTTTACCTTTAAAACAAGTCTGCCACAGGATTTACTATAGACACATCAAGGAAAAGGAACTTTGATTTTATTTAGAGCTTTTTTAGTCCTTTTAGCCCTCAACGCACCAATAAAACGTTCCAAAAGCAGCTTGGGCAGCAGTGATTGTGTGTATTTTGAGCTCTCCACAGGGCTGTGTGTAGAAATGCTGGGATTTGGTTGGGATGCCCCAGGAGCTGCAGCCTCACCTTCTCCCCGCGGCGCTCGTTGAGCAGCTCCACTCTGCGGCACAGGGTCTGGATGGGCTCCTTGAGCCGCGCCGACCCGATCAAATCCTCCAGATATTCCAGCATTCCCTCGTCGTGCTCCGTCTGCCCCTTGGGCTTCATCATGGCAATCTGCTCCACCTCCCCCTTGGGAAACAAAAGCTGGCTGGGTCTTTTCTGATTTAGTTTGGGGTTTTGTTTTTTTTTTTCTGGGATGGGGAAAATATTCTGAAAAAAAATCTACGGAATGAGTATGAGATGTTATAAAGAAAGAATAAAATAAGGCAGCAATCAAAATGATTCCAACTGGAATGTCACAGAATCATTAAGGTTGGAAAGGATCTCCAAGAACAAGTCCAACCTTCACATTTATTTGGGAAAATATAGATCAGAATGAAATTTCCTCTCCAGGTTTGACCATTCCTTCATTCTCTAAAGATTCAAAATGTGTTTCCCCAACCTAAAAAAAAGAGAATAAAGCAGGCCCTTGGAAAGAAGAATGTTTAATCAGAATTGAAGTCCCTGAAGGGTCTCTTTAGAAACAGAAAGTTCATCAAATCCTGGCTGATGGATGAACTAGAATTGTAATTCATTTAACTGAGGCTTCCTTGGTGGAGAAAGAAAAGGATTCTTTAGGTATGAGGGTTCCTTTGTGTAATTTCCCTTTATGTACTGCATTAATTTAAAGCGAATTTGGTGGTATTAAAAATAGTTTGAATTTTTAAAAATAAGATTTAGAAAGCATTAAACAGAGCCAGTGACAAGGACAGTTTGTGTTACTGCTGCAGGTCTGACAAGACAAAAAACCCCAACCCAACTCTTAAGTTTTATTTCTTGCAAAAAAAGAAAAAAAAAGCAAAAATTTGTTTGTGAGTAACTCAAAAAGCAAATCAGTTTGTGAGTAACTGCTGCTGGACTGGATAAAACCCCAATTATTTGCTCCCTTGCCACAAAAGTGTGGCTCTCTCCCCAAAACTGCCTGTCAGCTCTTGGGGGAGGAAACTCTGCAGCCTCCTCAGATATTCTGGGATTGTCAGAAGTCTTTCTCCTTCTTGCATTAAAGCATTTCCTCTGTTTACACCCAGGAGAAAACAATCACAGGAAAGATTTAACTCAATGCTGATCGGGACTGAGAGGTTTTACACTGGCTTTACACCCCTTGTGTTCAGTGCTGTAAATCACAAATCCACCTTGGATTTAACAGGGAAAAATGGCAATTATGGACAAGCAAGGAATTAATCCAATTTCCATTATTTGGCTAAATATAATTAACCACCTCTAAGAAAGAGGATGATGCAGTTGTGGGGTTTCTCTGTAGCTCACTAAGGAGTTCTTGAACTATTTTCTCACTGAGTGTAAAAATAAATATATTTCTAAATTAATAATTAAATAATAAGAGTGTTTTTATTTAATATTTATACTATTTATTAAGTTTAATATATAAAGAAATATGTTTAGTTTAGCTCAGATTTAAGAAATAAAAAAGTTTGCAGAAAAAAAATTAAAAGAAATTATAAGTTTCCTTTAATTGATAAAGGAGAGTGAAAAGGTTGTACCTGCTCTTCTTGACAATGATTAACAGAGCAAACAGATTTTACAACTGCTAAAACTCAATTCAAGTGTTTCTTAATTAATTCCCAGTGTTCATTACTCGATCCATTATCTGAATTATGAATTTACAAACCCCAAACCTCCTTGCTTTCTGAATTTTGAAATGCCCCGGCGTTGTGAAAGTGAAACCAAGGCGGGGCAGGCAGACATTTGTTGAGCAATGAGGGGAAGCAGCTCAGCAGCTCCTCAGAGCTGGGGCACCCAGCTTTGCCAAGGTTCCCACCAAAACCCCTGGAATTCTGGAATTCCCTCCCTCAGTTGTCTTCCTGTGGCTCAGGGATTCAGGACAGGGAAAAATATGTAAAATAAAAAGGAAATGCAGGCTCTGTTCAGACAATCAAAATGGATGTCAACACCCAGCCATGGGCGATGCCAACAAGAAACCAGATGTCCACACGAGGGAAGAAATTCCTGGAAAAAACCAGCCTTGGATGCATCCTGGAGAAGCTCCAGGGTGACTGAACTGTGACCTTCCAGTGCCTGGAGGAGCTACAGGAAAGATGGAGACTGTTTACAGAGGCTGGAGGGACAGGAGCCAGGAATGGCTCCCAGTGCCAGAGGGCAGGGATAAGTGGGATTTTGGGCAGGAATTGTGCCCTGGCAGGGTGGGCAGGCCCTGGCACAGGTGCCCAGAGCAGCAGTGGCTGCCCCTGGATCCCTAGCAGTGCCCAAGGCCGGGTTGGAACAGGGCTTGGAGCAGACTGGGATAGCAAAGGGGTCCCTGCCCATGGCTGGATGGGATTTAAGGTCCCTTCCGACCCAAACCATCCTGCAATTCCACATTTCCACATCCATCAAGCCCTTTGGGAAGGTTCTACGCTCAGTGCAAGAGCTCTAAATGGAACTGCAAACCAAATTCCAGCTTCTGCAGGGTGTGGAGCCTTCCACATCCACGTGGATCCACTGGGATGCAGATACAGCACAAGCTGGAAGTGGCCAGCTCCAGCTCTGTACCATGCACACACATCCCAGCATCCATCCCACAGAATTCCTCAGGGAACAAACACCGGCAATCCTACACCACCACCTCATCTGGGGAAACATTTCCAAGCACTCAGCCCTGGGGGAAATCAGGACAAACCTGGTTGGAGACCAAACTGTAGAATAAGGGAAGAGCCCTTCTCAGCTGGAAGTGGCTCCTCTGGCAAAAAGCACGAGGAATAAACTTCTGCAGTCTGGAATCTGTGTTTCTTTGCACAGCTGAATAATTCACAGCTGTGATGTTTAAGATACTTCCTCAATTCAAGAATTTAATTTTCTATTATACCTAAGTAAAAAGTTTAAAAGAAGTTTAAGGACTGGCAAGACCAGCAGCACATTCCAGCGCTGGTTTAAAATTCTGAATTTGCCCATGACCACTGTTTTCTCTAAAAGAAGGAAAACAGCTGATCCTGTCAGTACAGCTCTAACCTGAGCTGTCCAGTTTTATCCAACGTTTTCTGGCACATATGGATTGGAATTTTAAACAAGGTTACCTAACTGTCTGATAAAGGGAAGGTTTGACCTGCTCCTGAGGCTTTTCCTGCCACTGTGGTTTGGAATCAAGATCCTAACAGAGGTAACTCTCGTTTGCTGCGCTGTGTTCCAGAACCTTCCTCTTTCCCTTTGGGACTGGGTGTTGTTCCCCACAGCTAAGGGGTGTGAATGGCACAAACAGGACCCAGCCCCACTGGTGGAACTGGGATTGTGGGGCACTGGGATAGCGCTGAACGGGAATGAGGCAGTTTTGGGATCCAGCCACCACATTCCATCCCAAAATTCTGCTGTGGAACAAACAGGGATAGCAAAAAGCTTCCACCATCTTGAAAAACTACTGACAGCAACCTAAGAACTCTTCATGAAGAACAAACAACACCTTTTGTGCTGGAAGGAGCCTTTAAGGGACACTTTTCACTATCCCAGGGTGTCTTGGACACGTCCAGGGGCAGCCACAGCTTCTCTGGGAATTCTATCCCAGCTCCTCCCCACCCTCCCAGCCAGGAATTCCTTCCCACTATCCCATCAGGCAGGATGAGCTGTTCCTGGAGAAC